TCAAACACAGCCTGCAAAGCCATATTACAGAGTATCTCTTTTGTTAGTCTTCATTTCCAGAGGAAGGACAGCAAAAGTGACTGATGAAACACAAGGAAATTATGGGGGAAGGCAAAAGTAGTTGGTGAAAATGCAGTTTGTGTAGGCTGGAGATTGAAATCAGAAAAGAATACTTGGAACCTGTGCACTCTGCTAAGAACATGAATATGTCCCTTAGTCTCGTTCCTTCCTTCAGCCATCAAGGAGAGCTGTAAGATCTGTGTCTGGAGAGCCACTGGGAGAATTTGGGGGTCAGCTGTGTGCAGGGAAGGATTCATCTCTGGCTGTCTGCTACAGGCTTCAGCCAACACAGCCAGTCCATGGATTAGAGCTCCTTACCACTGATACTGTGTATCAGACCAATATGCCCATGGAAAATCAATACTCTTTTCTAGGAACACTAAATTACCAAAGCCTGAGGATCTTCTCACTGGTTTTGAGCAGTAACCAAGGAACATTGTATTAATTACTGTGCCATGGACAGATAACAGCCTCAGTAGTTTTGTGTCACTGCAAGAGAAGCACGTGGTTGTTTCAGTGCTGCAGGTCCACTGTGGCTTTCCAGCACCAACCACCCCGGGATGTGGGGGCACTGGAGAGAGGCATCCAAGAGTTATCAATTAAAACAGGTCACCACATTGTGAAGTCATGCTTTCCAAATATTTGTGTCCCTCTTGGTTTGGTTGCTTTCCTCCCCCCACTCCCTCGCCCATAGTCACTGGGCTGAACTCTGCTGGGGAAAGAACAGATTTCTTTCTTTAACAAAAAGCTTAATTATTTCCTATTTTCTAGATGTTGTTGCAAATGTAACTTCCTGTTAAGTGCTGAATTTTACAATGTAATAAATTGATATAGTGGCATGTAAACAAGCTGTGTAAATATATGTGCAGAGCCATGCCTTTTACAGGGTAAAGAAGAACTTGCACAGAAGTAGTTTTCTCCAGAAATAATAATTTGCACAGTGTTATGCATTAGTACAATAAATGATTTTGCAAGGTCTGAATTTACTGACAGCAGGTTGTGTATTTTAAGTACTATGTTTTTCTCAAATTAAAATAAAAAAAATATTTACTGGCTTTAGTTGCTACAAAAATCCAGTTATTAGGCCAGAAAGAGCTGCTAACATCATACTAATAGGAGCAGAAATCCATTAAATGCCCAGTGAATCTTTTTACCCAGTCCTTGAGAAAAGGAACTGTTGAATTGATAAATGCTACTCACCCTGGTCCAGCTCAGCTCTGGTTTTCCCAGGTGGAATGCTGGTGTGGAGCATTGTTTAATGAGTCTGAAAGGTTGGGAGGAGAGTACAATTGCAGCAGAAATGGCAGTAATATAAATTTCTATCTATTAGTCAGTATTTGCTGCTTCAATGGAAATAATTTTTGGGCTGGGCTCTGTCTCCTGGACATGGACAGGTGTGATGAATTTGTCTGGTGCCTGCTCCCCTCTGGGTGCAGCAATGTTTCACCTGCAGCCTGTGCAAAGGCAGCTGAGAGGGACCTCAGAAAGGCACAGGCCACTCCATTTGCAGACTGATCCCAGCTCTGCACAAATTAGCTGCTGCCAGGGATGGTATAAATCCTCCTCACTCAGAAGGGGAAAATCCCCGTGGGAGTAGGAGAAACTCCACGGAGTGTTGAGTGAGTGAGGGGTGGCAGTGCTGGAGCTTGGGCAGTGCCACCGTGGCAGGCACAGAAGGGTCAGCAGGGCAGGGAGCAGGGACAGAGCCATCAGTAACATCAGCTCAGCCACTGCCAGCAGCTCCTGATGCAGCCTGGAGAAGAACCAGGGTTAAAGACGTGGGAAATGGAGAAAAGCAGAAAAAAATCCTCCTTCCAAACTCTGGGCTTACCTCTTCACACTGATGTTATGACCCTTCCTAATGGTAATTTATGTCAAATTGCATTTTAAGAACAGCGACAGTGATGTAATTAGCTCTGGCTTACTGAGGTTAGAAATAAAAAAAATCATAAATCACCTACTTTCAATTCAAATCCCTCCTCTGAGCATTATTAAGTCCCTGAAGACATCAGCATGAGCACACACAACTTCTGCAGTCGCCTGGGTGTCTTTGCCATCCTCACACCTAAGGACGAAGCCTGATCCTTGTTTGGATTTGTGTCTTTTTCTCCTTTTCCTTTGGATGAAGATTGTTCTCACAGGTGCCTAAGCTTCCTTCCAACAGACAAAAAAATAGCAAACGTTTATAGGAAAGCAGTCTAATTATGTGGGGTTTTTAAACAGCCAGGAGGAAAAGATAGTTTGAAAACCAAAATATCTTGGAGGCCCCTTCTGCATCCATAGTATATTTGATAATTTGACTTTTGCTTCCAGGGCACACATTCAACTTCTTCATTAGTATAATGATCCTTGGTCTTCTCTTCCCAAACTTAGATAATTTGAATAAAAAATAAGTTTTATGAAATGTAGCAATTAACAGAGTCAATACATTTTAAACTGTGCTTACATATCACTTGCAGCAATCTCATCCCTCTCTGCTGTAGATCAAAATATATTCAGCATTATTAAAATACATTGTCCATTTTCTGCTTGACAAGAATAATCCAGTGTGCTGGTGAGTACCAAAGTGACCTGAAAGTTTTTCTAGTATGTAATCCCTTCTTATATTCTGTATTATCTATGAACTCAGACAGAATATCTGCATTATCTTAAATAAATTAGGTAAAATGTATTTCAAAAAGCTTCTTGAGTCAAAAAGTAGCAAATCATTGTATGTATTTCCATATTTGTATAGTTTCATTATATTCTTGTTCTAAGTTACTATTGTCTCTTTCATATTTAAAAAATTAACTACACACCTATCATGCAAAATGTAAAGAAGTATGTTCAACTAGTTCAAATTAGATATACAGTAAAAATACACTTCCAAAGAAATATCATTTCCATTTTTGTTCATGTTTTTAACAGAATTTCAGACTAATACATCAAATGTGGAACTGTACAAGAATGTGAAGAAACATTAGGATTGCAGTAGTAAAAAAATGTACAGCATTCAAAACCAACAAGCTCTAAACAACCAAACAATACCACAGGATTGAAACAGTCATGGGGACAACATAGGTCATTGGAGCCAGAGTGAATCCTAATGCACCTACATAAAGACCCTACATAGAATATTGTCTCTTATTTATATGCAAAATCCCTGATTTGATTAAACCAGACAATTTCTCTAATTGTCTTGTATAGGTTTCAGATAAGATTAACATGAGAGTATTCCCCTTCATGAAGGTCAGGTGTTTGAAAAGGCAATATTGAGAATTGACTTGAAAGGTATTTCCATCACATGGATTCAGGTAGTTAAGATACAAGATCACAAATAATAGCAGTACAATTTTAAAGAACCATGGGAATTGTTCTCTGCTACATCTGCCGTAACAATTCGGATTCAGGATTCAGAATTTTTAAATTGTTCACAGGTTAATACACAGGGTTTTAATTATGGGCTGTAGCCATTTAACAGTGGACCAAAATTGCCTTTAAATTAAGAAAAGATCCAGCTTAGCATGTACAACCAAAAAAAAAAAAAAAAATCCAAGGTGATTGACAATGAACAAAACGTTACAAACAGCAGAACGTCCGTGTCAGAACAGCTTTGAAAGGCAGATATGCATCTGTTACAGTCCACCAACCAGCACAACATCCCAATCAGACATTTGGATTATGAGGAAAAATGTCCTGGATAAACCTGTAACATTTATAAATTCAACACAAATGATTTTTTTTAATGTCTCATCACTGTGCATAAACTCAAGGGACCCTGCCAGCCCTGGGTTTGGTGACCAGACCCCAATCTCTCTCCCAGATCTCAGCTAGTTCCCATCTTTGAGGACTGTCCTGCTTTACCCATAGCTCACCTGTGGGGTTTTTTAAGCTGAAGTGTAAAAAAGGTTAATAAATGACCTAATTATGTCAGCTTTTCTATCCCACAGTCCTCACGCTCTGAAATCTCTCCCTGATCTCGATAGGAATTTGGCTTGCACAAGAATAGCAAATTTGCAGCTCAGAAAGCTGAATAAATGTAGCACTTTTAAAACCAAAACAGTGTTAGGAAAAAGTCCAGCCTACAAAATCATCTTCAATGCCCTGAGAAGGGCAAAGAACACAAATCTTGGCACCTATCTTGCTGTTTATTTGGAAAAATCTTTCAGTAATTCTGATCCAGTGGGAATGAGGGATTAGTTTTAGAGAGCTGGCCAGTACAACCCAACATCTGACTGAAAGAACTGATGGGAGCAGGTTTGAAAAGGAACAACCATCTGCATCTTATGTACCACTCCAAACCTCTAAACCTACTGGGCAAACAGCATAGTGTAGACTCGTTCTTATACAGATTTAAACTTTGCTGAGGTATTTCTTTTATTACAGAAAAGCAACTTTAAAAACAATAGGAAAAAAACCTCAAAATATGAGATATTCTGCAGAGATTTTTGGGGAGAAGAAATTCAATTGTATTGAAAGGTCCATAATCATCAAAGGAATAACCACTTTTAGTGTCAATAATATATTCTTCCTTGGCTTTTTATTCCTTCAAAGCATTACAAAAATGTAAGGCTGTGACTTTATAAAACATAATTTTTCCTCGACTTTGCCCACCAGTGCTGTAAAATAGCCTGCAATTCTTCTGTCTTTTCCCTAGGGCAAACCTTTCCCCGTGTCCACCTCCATGATGGCCCAGCTGTGGCCACACAGCTGTGGGACCCCCAGGCCTCCTCCAGGACAAGGGACAAGCCACACCTTGCACAAAAGCAAGATTCAAACATGCTGGCCATGGTCAGGTTTCCTTCACGTGGCAAAATGAAATGTAGTTCTTCTGTTTGAGTAGTAACATTATCTGATAACTTCTACCTGCAACTAACATCATTTCTCTACAATGAAGATACCTAGACTGTTGTACAAGCTGGATTTCTCACCCATCTACATTTTGGGAACCAAAGGAATGTGCACATCATATTCAGGGGTTTTCCTAGGCAGACACTGTGTTTGAAGTGCATTTTTCTAACCCTTTTAGATCCAGTCAGCCTACCTCAATCGTGACACTAATGTTAAACGTAACTGCAGCCATTACCAAGTAGTTTCCATAAGTGGTTTTATTACTGGTTAGATTTTACAAATTCTGGTATTCGAACAGACTTTGACCTTAAAATTCTAAAACAACAAAGCAACCAATGAAAGGCTTAGGACTATTCAAAGTAACAAACTCTTTAACATTTTTGCCCTGGTCATAAATATACAGAGAGAAAAAGAGAGAAGTGGACATGGAATCCAAAGAATGTAGATAAAACAGTGTATAAGGCACATGGCAGTCTTTGAAAATACAGAAGCTTTAGCCAACTTAAATTAATTGCTGTTTCCCTTGCTCAGTCCACAAAACTGTACAGTTACACAAATGTTGTGTTGCAATAGATCTTCCAAGTTATTCTTCAAGTCCATACTCCATAATACCAGAACACTACATTTCCTTCTGTTTTTTAGGAGAGATCCTAATTGTGGTTAGTCAGTTGCTCAAAGCCTCTATTAAAATACACTTGGAATTTCAGCTAAGAATAATTTCTTTTTTAAAGAAATTATTAAGAAAGAGTCATCAGAAAAGATTTGTAAGAGTTGTCTGTGAAGGACTTCGAGATTCGTGAACCTCAAGACTTCCGGGCACTGATGTCAAGACCGACGTCACAGTTGGCATAGTGGGATTAGTCAAGTCTGTTAAAGTAGTGGGAGTGCTGGATGGACTCATGGAGGCATTGGATATTTCTGAGGCAGGACCTGATGGAGTCCCTGCTTGGAGTGTTGAGTCTGAAGTCTTATCCACCCCTGTGTTTTCTTGACGTAAGAGGTTCCGTCTGAATTTGGCTCGAGCATTTTGAAACCAAACCTGAAATAGTTTAATATAACAGGGTAGCATTTAAAGACCTGCAGTGTTTAAAAACACAAAAGCACATTCACAAATTCATCAGTGCTGGAATTGGGAAAGATGTTTTTGCTGGTTACATATTAGAAAAGTAGTCCTAGCCACGAGAAGTGGCCTCTGCCTGCAAAATATTCCTTCTTCCCTCTCCTTCGATCCCTGCACACAGCCTGCCTGGGCCAGGGCTGGGCTCAGGACAGAGGCTGCCAGTCTGTCTGCACAGGCTGGGTGAAAGGATGTTCAGACATTTGGCAGTGTGCAGAATTCTCAGCAGCCCTCAATCCCAGCAGCATTGGTCTGGGTGAGGCAGACACCACGCACCTGATGAGTACAAAATCAGGAGTTTCCCCCGTTGTATCTCCTGTCCATCTCCCACCAAAGTGCTGCTGGCACAGCCCAGGGCATCCTGCCTTCCCACGGGCTCCTGCTCCCCCGGAGCTCCCTCACATGCCACTGCCTGCCGTGCTCCCCTCTGTGGAAAGGACTGTCCCTCTTTCTTGCTCTTCTCTTATTCTTTCTCAAATGCTTCAGCTTCCTTTGCTATGCCTGTTTCCTTTATCAAGTGTTTTCAGTACTGGAATAACATTGGGAAAAGGGGCTGGAAATGTATTAAAGACCTACATTACATCAAAAACTGTGAGTTCGGTAGGAATAGCAGCCACACAGAATTTTTTTGCCAAGGTTTCTACTTCTTGCATTCTTTGCTTATCTGAGTGAAGGCCAGGGAAGGTGTGCGTGTGGGACTGCTGAGGACACAGCAGCCCGTGCAGAGGTTCCGCTCCTGCCTCTGGAGCTGCCCGGCCGTGCGGGACGGGCTCTGAGCCGGGAGGGAGGCACGGAGCGCTGCAGGAGAGCGGCCGGGGCTGGGGGAGCTCCCACTGCAGTCCCGGCTGCCTCGGCTGCTTCACCTCTCTCATCCTTCTTCACATCTAGGCATGCTCCAGCTGCAAATTCTCCCTATCGAGCCCTCTTCCTTCCCTGGAAAGCTTTCTCCTCCAGCCAAAAGTCTTTAATGTGCACACCCTGTCTCTTGCACTCTCTCCAGGGAATGCCACAAGGAAATAATCCTCAGGCACAAATTCGAGGGCCATGCATAAATCGCATCCCCACAGTCATTCTTTCAGAAAGCTCAGTATTTTAAATCAGTTTATGTTGGCATTTGCTTTGTTAAAACACTTTGTTTAAAGGCTATTTATCAGTTTCACATACAAAAGTTCTCTTAAACCAGCACAGGTAAACATATTCCCATGATTTTATAAGAGCCCAGTATAGCAGTGACCCTGCTACAGACCAGCAATGTGGTCAAAAAGGGGCAAACCCCAAAGTGATGTTTTTGCCTGACAAATTCCCAAGCAGTGTCCTCTCCTTGTGTGCAGGGGCTGTGAGTGAAGCCAAGCACTTTGTTCTGGTCATTTAATCAACAAAGGCTCAAGCACCAACTGCTCAGGAATGGCAAAAACAGCAATTGGAACATTCATAGGATTTGTTACCTTTCAGGTAGAGATCATTTCTATTTGTTCCACAAAATAATTCAGCGTCTGGTTTCTTTAAAGTACCTTCTGGCAACTGTATAAAGGACAAGAGCTGTGAAAAGGAGTTTGGAGCTGGCTGCTGTTTCCCAAGCTGGGGGCTGTTCCCTGGGCTGTGGGGCTGTTCCCTGGGCTGTGGGGCTGTTCCCTGGGGCTGTTCCCCGGGCTGTGGGGCAGTTCTCTGGACCGTGGGGCTGCCCCTGGCCCTGGCCGTTATCCCAGCAGGGACAGCAGCAGGCAGGGCTGCAGCCGAGGTTGCCCCCTGCTCCATGGGCAGCTCAGGCCGTGCACCTGGAAGGGCACGGCAGAAATAACCACCCAGACACACAGAACTGAAAGAATCCTTCCAGAAGGACTTATCTCACATCAATTACACAATTCCTTCAGGACTGAGGAATAAACAAAATCATTGGGAAGTATTTAGTGGGTTTCTGTCCAACTGTATCAGTACAAGGCTGAGCTATTTCAAATCAAAGGGGAAAATACAGACCAAAGCTCCCAGTGAAAAATAAAAAGCAGCTGCAAGACCCAGCACTGCTGCTCCCACACTCCAGTGAGCGGGGCTGGATGCATGGAGCTGGGCACTCAGCAGTTAGGCAGAATAATATTTACTGAGGTGAAAATATTGCAGTCCCTCTTCAGTGATCTGTGGAGCAAATTCTTTGTCTCTACCAAGTCAAATAGGAGTAAAATAACATCTCCATATGATAAGGGAGTGTTGAAAATAAACACACTAAGTGTTGTGAGGGACTTGGATACTGAAGTTAATGGGATCATCACCTTAGATAACTTTATTTTCTGGTTTGTAACACCTCCATTGCTGCATCTGCTACGTATCAGCTGTGTGAACAGCATCTGCTAAAAACAAATTTTTAAATCAGATTTTGCTCATTCACACAACTACCTGGAGACATTTAGGTTCCCTGAATTTCACTAACTAGTAAGTGGAGAAACAAAATAGAGAAGATGTAACACCACAAAGCAGACCACACTCACTCATTGCACACACATTGTGATGACTCTGCTGTAATTAGTAACTGTGCAGTCAAAGAGATGTTTAATGAATGGGGGCTCAGGAAGAGCCTGCAGCCTAAAGCAAACCTTCACCAAAGGGCAGCACAGGTCCCCACGTGGGATGGAAATATTTTAGGCTTGTTGACTACTGGAAACTGGACCAGGAAAATCCAAATGCATGCAGTGATTTCTGTAGGGTTCTGGTAGCAACTTTACTGGGGACTGATTCAAGGAAAATTCAGTGGTGACAAGACACACACTGAAAAATGATGCTTTATGTTCCTAAAGTGCTTAGGCTGTGGATAATCTTATTCCAGAGCCCTGGGACAGAAGAGGTACATACCTATAGCTAACACACCACACCTCCTCAGGGCTATCTACTTTCACCTTCCTTTTCTAAACTCACTGAAAGAGAGATCAGTTCCCCAGAGAGCAGAGTTTAGCCAGTTAGGTTAGTTAGCTCACAATTAGCTGGGGCTGTTAATTACGAATGATAGCTTATAATAAAGGGCTTGTGTTCCCCAGCTGTAATACAAGAGATATATGAATTAAATCACAAATGTAAACTTAAATTGGAAGGAAACAATATAGAAATAGGTGTTAAAAATATAAATAAGTTTGTTATGGTTCTAATGTGGCTGCTTTGGGGGAACAGTGTGCATTACAAAGGTGTTGAAGGAAATGCATTGTGTTACATTTCCAGGCCATCCCACCACTGGACATGTGCAGCTGGTGACAAATTGTGTATAAAGCAAAGACATCAGTCAGGGCTTCCAACTCCAGTATCACAAACCATTTAGAAAATCCTCAAATTCTCTGCTCATCTACCAAGTCCTCTCACTATGTGTCATGTGGGGCTGTCTCTATAGCAAGGGCACTACAGCTGTTCCCTAAATCACCAGGAGCTCTGCTCTGTGTGTTTAGGAAGTGCACCTTTCTCCTGATCTGCTGCCCTGAATTTCCCCTTAAAATAAATTCTATGAAATGTGTCCACAGAGCCAGGATCCTTCACCAGCTGAATGGAGATGTGAGCACCCAGGAAACCCCACAGCTCACAAACACCCATTGGGGAGTGGGGCAGAATTCTGGCTCCTGTCAAGTGTGCCTGTGCACCTCTGGAGTGTGGGACAGGCTGCTGCTAATGGTGCTTGTTCCCACCAGTGGTGTCAGTGAATCACTTTGTGTTCAATAAGTGACACAGATGCAATGCCAGCCTTTCTGGCTCCAAAGAATTAACAAGTGACAGTGTCTCAGTAACCAACATCATGACGAGTCTTCCCAGCAAAGAGCAGCCCTAAAACTCATATATGTGAACTTAATTGCCACTCACAGGTAGAGATAAACCAACTGGGAGAAAAGTTCTAAAGCATACAAAATACCAATTTCTGTTCTCGTGGCCCAAATGAATTTTTCAAACAAAACATCCATGACAAGAGAGTGCTTGTAAGAGGCAGGAAAACTCAAGTGATAGCAGACAAAGTATCACTCCATTTTCTGGCATTGCCTCCAACAGCATCATCCTCAGGGAACAATCCTCACCACCACCTATTGTCTTCCACCACTGCAGCTAAAGGAGCCTGGACATAAAGGAGTATTTAACTCTGAAAGTAATAGAAGTGAAACACCAAACACCAAAATGATAACAAAACTTCGGTGGAATTGTAAAGTTCTACAAAAAACAAAAGAAGAACCACAAAGCATCTTAAAACTGCAAACTGTGATATGTTGTGAATATGTTGTGATAGGAGTGAAGAAGCAATGAAGAAATTGAAAGAGGAACAGAAGAGTAATGGGGTGGAATCCAATTGTGGAGACAAGGAAATACGCATTGAATAGGAAGAAACAGAGACAATGACTTGGAAAACAGATGCAAGGAAAGACCCATTCAGTAAGAAGAGAGAGATGGAAATCAAAGTTGGTGTGAGTGACAAGAGAGAACAGAAAGATGACCAAGAGAAAGACACTTCCTAGACACTGATGTGAAGTTTTTCAGGTAATTCAGGTGTGAATGGGCAGACCTGGTATTACCAACGTGTCTAAATTCTGAGGGTAAAGTAGAGAAGAAGGGTCAATCTAAGGATAGACCAATGCAGTAGATTATTTCAGCCATGTGTGTGGTTTAAGGACAGCTGCTGGGATGTTCACTCTAGCAGAGGACCCTGCTCCTCCACAGCCTCAGGAAAACAAATCCAATGCAGCTATGAGAACGCAGCCACGAGATTCATTACATACAGTTTGTCATTTTATTGGGAAGCCTACAAAACCTTTGCTCCTTCTTCTGGTAGGTGTTAGCTCTGTAAGCTGCAGGATCCCTGCAGTGAATTCAGTTTTCCTCAGTAGTTGTCTCCTGCCCTCCACTTGCCTGTGACTTGTGAGCTGTCCACGATGCTTCCCAGATGGGGCTCGCAGCCCTACCTGTCTCTAGGAAGGTCACAAATCCTTTTTCTGCAATTGAGACCCATTTAAAACTTTCAGCAATAAATCCTGGAATGCCGTGGCTCCTATATGTCCAAGTTTATCTCTAGGTATAGGCATTTGGGTAAGCATTCATTAAAATTGACTTCTTGAGTCAGAACTATAAATTAAAACGCAGCTGAATCAACTAATACTGTTCCCTTTCCTTCCCACAATACCTCAAATGGAGTGTGTTCCCATGAGCAAGAAAAAGTGCTTTTAAAATGCAGTTTTGTTTCACTCTAAGTTACTAAACTATGAGTAAAAGTTTTTGAAAAATTTCATCTACGTCCACTTCAGTTACGAATGAAAAGCCCTCCGCCGTGTTCTGATAAAATGAATTTAAACTGTTGATTAATTTCTTACAAAGGTAAACACTTACATGCTTTCTGAATTTCTAAGCTAAAAGCTCTCTATTTACAGTGAGTATACTAAAATAAGTCACTTTTTTTTACAGCAGCCTGGAAACTAAAACATGCACCAGAATTAAAGAACTCCAGGAAAACAAGCAGGGCTCCAAACAACTCGCATAAAATTTAGAACCCAAGTGATCTGCTTTAGAGACACTGAAGAGAAATAACTGTTCTCATACTTTCTGGGAGTTAACTTCGTCTCAGAGAAGGTACAAATTATTAGGAATATCTTGAAAACCAGCAAAATCCATGGCTTTTTAAACACAAGATTGATACTTTGACTACTTTTCAAGGCAAAAGGTGCCTCTTACCTGAAGAACTCTTTTGGTGAGGCCAGTTTTCTGAGCTAGCTGTTTCAAGTCCTTGGCATCAGGATTGTGGTTAATAGCAAAGTATGACTTCATTGTCCTCAGCTGGTGGTGTTTGAAGGACGTCCTCATGCGCTTTGTTTTCTGATTGCTGGGGTATTGCTGGTCCCTGTCCAGGTGGTCACCATCGTTTTCATTGCAACTTAAAGCTTAAGGCAACAAGAGGAAAACGTAAATCTCTTGCTCCACAACCAATATTGCTCTCAATTTCCCTGAGTGCAGCGATTATAGTATCACACCAGAAATGTACTGGTACCAGCCCTGCCTGCCTTTGCTCTGTTCCATGGGTTTGCAGAGCAGTTCAGTTTGGAAAAGCCCTCTAAGGCCATTGTGTCCTTCCATTAACACAGTGCTGCCAAGGCCACCACTAACCCATGTCCCCAAGTGCCACATCCACGTGGCTTTGAAACCCCTCCAGGGATAGGGGCTTCACCTCTGCTTTTGGGGAAGTTTCCTAATATCCACCCTGAGCCTCCCCTGGCCCAGCCTGAGGCCGTTTCCCCTTGTCCTGCCCCTGTTCCTTGGGAGCAGACCCCCCCCAGCTGTCCCCTGCTGTCAGGGAGTTGTGCAGAGCCACAGGGTCCCCCCTGAGCCTCCTTTTCTCCAGGCTGAGCCCCTTCCCAGCTCCCTCAGCCTCTCCTGGGGCTCCAGCCCCTGCCCAGCTCCGTTCCCTTCCCTGGACACCTCCAGCCCCTCCAGGGCTCTCCTGCCAGGAGTGGCCCAGAGCTGTCCCAGCACTGGAGGTGTCCCAGCAGTGCCAGCACTGGGGTGAGCACAGCCCACGGGCTGTTGGCCTCTTGCCCACCTGGGCACAGCTGGATCATGTTTCTGTACCTTCCAGCCATTCCCTTACAATAACCAGCCTGCAAGGACCCTGGCTTCCCCCTCTGTGGCTTTTAAAATGTCAGTTCTGTTTCCTTTTCCCCCCGCTCCACCTCCACAGAACTTTTGCTCCACTTTCAGTGGGAGGACAGTAGCTGTCCTCAGCTCTGTAAAGGCTTTTACTGTACTTGGTATCGCCATAAACTGCACTGTAACACACAAAGAGAGCTGCACAATACACTCCACTTAAATCTCAATGGAACAGACCAGTTAAAATCATAATTATTTCCTCCATCAAACTAAACCCTGTAGAGTACAAGGGAGACCATTAAATGAAACACTATAAAAGAAATAAAGTTTGTGGCTACCAGACAGCAAATTATGACTATAATCTGACTAGCTAAAGAAATAAAGCTGTTAATACAACATATTCACTGGCATGCCAAATGAAAAAATCTTTTAAATTATTTATATGTTTGTATTTCCATTTTTAAAAAAAAGTGTTTGCAAATACTAGTTTGAATGATCACTTCTGCCATATCCTTTTGAAATCCAGGAATGACACTGGTTGATACACTTGCAGAAATCAAATACAAGAAGAGAAACGAACACTAAAAATTATTAAATAGTATTAAATGTCGAATGCTAAGCAAAATAATCTTGTAGACCAAAAGCAGTTTTTCATTTATTTGTGCATACAGTAAACCATAGAAACCTTCTTAAAATGACATTAGGGACTGAGCTTAAATCCAATAAAAAAATTAGGAATATAACTGAAAATTAACTTTGACAAACTGCTGTTAATTAGCTTTTCCTGTCCAAATATCTACAAGTCCCTCTTAATTTCCTTCAAGTTTTATGCTAAAAGTAATGAAAAATCGCTATCTCTGTTCTACATATCATGCGAAAAATGACCAAAAAATTCTTTTAAAATGTGAATTGTTGGTAGGTTTCTTAAACACATGAACAGGCTTGTTTTCAATTGTCCACTGTTGCTGTTTAATTACAGCTGAGTACATCTCATGCACCTATCTTTATAGTGTTACTTGAAGTCTTGCTGTTCATCAGTGGGTCTCAGCCCTAATGAAAACACACATTCTGACAGGCATGTATTAAAAACAGATTTAAAAAATACACATGAAATGCACAGATTCCAAAGCAAAGATGCATACAGGTTCCCTAAGCAGGTTTGCAGCAGCTACAGTAGCTGCTTTACAAACCTCAGCCTTTCAAAACCTGCTAAAAAGCTATGGCACAATACAGAGCAAGGCCTGCAAAAATTCAGCTCTGAGCCCAAAAGCACGTTTGTTTAACAGACACACCCAAAGTGTCCAAAGCCTTGAACTTTTCTGTATGTTTCTGGACTCCTATAATTTAAAAAGCAGCTAGGAAATGGTGCTGTATACAGAAATGGGAGTGTCTGTGTGCGTGTGTGCGTGCATGTGCATACATTTCTATAAATCCTTTCCAGACTTCCAGATCTTGTGCCAAATTTTGGCCATACGAAGCATTTCTACTTGTTTTCCTGCAGCATGGAAAACTGCAAGCACCTGAGTTTAAAAGGTGTAAAGACACTTAAAGGGAGAGAGTAACAATGGAGTAGTAATGGAGCTGTTTGGGAAGTAGCCAAATCTTTTTGGGTTTAAGATCTGAGACCCAGTTGCCCATCTGGAGTCATCACATGTGCTCCAATCTCCTTCACAGCCACAATTCCTGATATAAAGAGCACTGGGATAAATAACATTAATACTCTTAGAAAATTCTGTTATGGAAAGGTAAAACCAAATCATGCTTGTTTGTAAAATGTACACAAAGAATTTTAGATATTAGTAATGGAAAAGACCTTGTGTCATCTTAGAGGCTTTTGAACCCTCCAAGAAACAACAAGACAGACATAGGAGGAAATGCATCAAAATATCTGTCTGCAGGACTGAGGTCTGGTTCCTGTTAATATGCAACGAAACAAAGCCTAGGGCTGCAAGGAGCTGGATTTTAACGTGTCCCACAGAGAATGAGATACATTCAGAATCCAAGGATATAAAACTCATTCTAAACCCTCCCAGAATGCAATGATGGTGTCAGCTTTTCATCAAGCCCTGATAGGAAAAAGAACAACTTACTCTTGGAATTTCTTATCATTTTACCTCATTATCTACTTAGAAAAAATAATATTAAAATGACAGTAAACATGTACCATTTGAGAGTGGCAAAATGTCCTCGCCTCGATGGAAGTTGCAGAACAGATTTTGGAAGTGCACGAGGGCGTGTGCTGTTCGTTGTCTTGTGCAAGTGGTTTGGCTACTCCCAGGCATCACCCAATATGACATAAATAGTCCTAGCTGATGCCAATTCCCCTCTTGTATTTGGTTGTGGTGCCTGGCACCATCCTCAACAGGCTATTTTATTCAGTCTGATATTATCTGCATCTCTCTCAGAATCTGCAACGTCCATGGGTGTTGCAGGCACAGATACACAGAACAGGCCAAGGGTGTAAGTGGAGATTTTAAGAGCTGAGGAGCTTCTGCAAAAGGCATCAGGGTGTAAAACTAACACTGTACATGCTCCTCACGCAACCCTCTGTTTTTCAGGCACCGTCTTCCCTGTTCTTTTGTGGTGTCCTGTGTATCTCCCAAAGGAATCGCTGAACTATCCATATGTAACATTTCCATTCCATTGCAGCATCTCAGGCTCCTGCTGGGATTTCAGAAATACAATTGGTAGAATTCCAGTCGAATAGAGGAGCCTTAAATTAATGAGTGTTTCACTTCTATTTTTTGATAAAACAAATTCTGAAGCAGTGCCAAGTCTCTTTTCTGACCCTAGAACATTTCTAAGGCCCTGTGCCTTTCCCCAGACCCTGCAGCCAAGCCATTGCCCTCCCACCCTCCAGAGCTGCAGCAGTGGCAGCACATAACCCTCAGCCCCATATGGGTCACCTGGTCACAGGATGGTGATGTCCATGGCCAGCACCACTACAGCCCTACAGATTAAGAGCAAAACATTTTGTTTTGATATTGGTAGCCAAAATACCCTTTGCAGATGAATGCATAACACCTCCCTAAACCCAACAACAGGAGCGTAAAGCAGGCTGTGCTGGTGCTTTTGTAACAAAGTCTGTTAGAGGAGAGGAGAACTTGGGAGCATTGCTTCACCCTCAGATCACCAGAGCCCCCCATGGCTTGGGATTCGGGGCAAAGTGTGTGCTTAGTAGCAAGTGGATTGCTAAGGATATGGTACATGAAGATGAGAAAGAGAAATTTCCTTTGGGGGAAATTTTATTCTTAGTAGCTTGTGCTTGACATGTTAGATTATGCCAAAAGAAAGAAAACTAATCCTGATTCTGAAAGAGTGATGAAACAAGAGACACGTTGTGTGTGCATTATCTCTCAATAGTGGCTCAGGAACATACACCCCTTTCCTGCTGTAATCGGAGTCAAGGGGGTGTTTTAACCTCCTGCTGCCTGGAGAGGGAACTTGTGATTAACTAGACCAGGCAGGGGTGCAGCCGCATTTGTTTGGTCAGAGCATGTGGAAGACTTCGTGGTACCCATATCCTCGAAGGGGACAGAAGTGAGACAGAGCCCTCTGAGCGGTACTTGGGACAGGAACAGACACAGTATTTCTCTTTGGAGGAAGGAGAAGATACTTAGAGAAGGCAGATTCCTGAAATTCTCACCACAGGAATTAAAAGGATTGAAACTGTGGCACTGGGAGCAGGCAAGGTACCCCTGGCTGCTTCTGAGGTGCCTGGCTGCTCTAAAAGGAGTGTGTCTCTGCCAAGCCATGGAGCAACAGACACGACAGCGCTGCCTCAACCTTGACATTTCAAGAAGTGTTCCTGAGGAGATAAAGCCAGTCAGTCTTAAGGAGCCCAGGCCGAGCATCACAAGGCCAGGATGGAGGAGAGCAGGATTAGAAGCCCTCTCTCTTCCCCCGGCCTTCCCCGGCCGCCTCGGACAAAGGGGCTGCGCGTCCCGGTGCCCCCCGGGGCTGCCTGAGGAGCGGGCCCGGGGCCGGGCCGGGGCTGCGGGCCGGGAGAACAAAGGGGCCGGCGAGGGGCGGCCGGGCCCGGGCCCCGCGGGAGGAACCGCCGCCAGGGTTTTTCCCCTCAATTAAGCCAATTGAATGGCGCTGAATGGCCGGTGCGAGTGCGCGGTCAGTCCCTGAGCGCCGCGATTAACCCGGGCAGCCCCGGCCGAGCCGAGCTCCTCGCTGCCCGGCCCGCCGGGGGAAGGGGCTGGCGGCGGGGCTGCAGCGTCTCCGCTCCCCCCCCTGCCCGAGGGACCCCGGCCCCGCAGCGCCTGGGGAGCGGGGGGCGCTCCCGGGGCCCCCTCGTCCTTCGGGTGGGAGAGATGCGGGTGCTCTGCCCCAGCTCCGACCCCAGCCCCAGCCACGACCCCTGCCCCCTGGGGAGGGACCAGACGCGCCCGGGGACCCCAAAGGTGACCACGGCTCCGGAGGAGGGAGAGAAGGGGGAGAAACAGGAGAAGGGGGGAAAAGGGGTAAACTCTAATTTTTCCTAGGAAATCTCTGCAAGACATCCGATTTTAAGCTGCGATTCCCGTCTGCTCGCCCTGTCACAGTAGTCACGGGGAAGCTTCTTGCGAGCTTTTAGTCCCAAGGGAAACGAGGAGGAAAGAGAGATACGCTCCTCAAAACTTTCCAGGCTTTTCGCATTTTTGTCGGGGAAAAAAACCAAACCACTTTTGACACAGCCACTTGAGAGGGTCAGCTCCAGGCGTCCCCGGCGCTGCTCCGAGCCCTGCCGGGAGCTGGGTCGGCGCCTCCTCAGCCTCCCCTCCCCCGGCAAAAAGCCGCCCCCAGCCCCAGTGCCCGTCCCCGAGTTCGTCTGTCCAGCCTGGATATTCCGTCACCCTCTCAGCAAAGCACGAGGCACCTTCTTGCTAGCAAAGGAAGGAAGTGTTTCTTAATATCTTGGCTGTTTGCACAGATTATGGGTATTTTATCAGCTCGGCATGCCCCAAGTTTGCGCAATACATCTGTCATTTTCCAGGATATTTTAGTGTCTGAAAGCCAGACTAGATACAAATGAATAAAACATAGCAGACTGTGGGAGGTTTGGGGTCTAATTCACAAAGGGAGTATTCAGAATTCTTTACAGGTGCTTCTGTGTTCAGCAAGCTTTCAGCCATTGATTTACTGACCTAAAAAACCCATCAAACTCCATTCCAACAAGTGAAGGAGGAAATTATGATCACAGGAACACACTTAAAAAAAAAAAAAAAAAAAAAAAAAAAAAAAAAAAAAAAAAAAAAAAAAAAGAAAAAAAGAAAAAAAAAGAAAAAAGAAAAGAAAGAGAAAAGAAAGAAAAAGAAATCTTTTTGAAGTTTCAGCATCCTTCTAAGCTATTTTCCACTTGTCAGGCTCTATCCACATCTAAACCCATCATCCCCTGCAAACGGAGTCTCGTTTAAGTAGGAAAAAAAAAGTCTAATTCGTGTTGCAGATGAGTATTTGCTGCAATTTACAAAATTATTTCAGTCTCAACTCTGCCAAGTTTATGGGTTCCCCTTTTCCCACCACCTCTGGATGTAGATTTATTTACATAAAGTATTCTACACAAATCACCAGGAACAGACCCCCTCAGAGAACAACATTGTGCATTTCTGAGAAGGAAATGACAAGTTCCACTAAAAATAAAAAGAGAAACCATCTCATTTTTAAATAGTTTCTCTTTTAAAGACACAAAATCGAAAGCTTTGCGATAATTTACTCGTTTGTGGAATTTAACATCAACGAGCAACTCAGTCTGATTTCCAAGATCAATGGCACTTATTACCGCATAAATTAGTCGATTATAGGTCTAGTAAATAGTTAAGTAGATAAATAGCTTAAGCAAAGAAGCCAAAGGTTACTCAAAGAAGATCTCTAAAGTTTCAGTTGCATGCTCTAAACAACGATTAAAAGACAAAAAAGTCGGACGGCAATGATTTTGTAAACGAATTTTTCAAAAAGCAGTTAAAGGCGGTTTATTTAGGAAGTCAGGGAGCAGTGAGACTTTCTCAGGCTGTGCTCCCATCCAGGACAGATGCCGCTGATTCGGTTTACAGGTCCTTTGAATCTGAACATCTGCCCTGCACAGAGAGACAGCGGAAGGACAATTAAAAGCTAATCCCTCCGAAAAGGAAACGTTTTTTAACGGGAAAGATGCATATTTGATGCATGTTTTAAAGCTGAACTGTTACTCGCGAGAACTCTACATCCACCTTTCATCAGCCTTCACCACTGGGACTACTACTGCTTTTTGCACTACTGCCACATTATTCAGCGATTAGTTCAACCAATAATAGGTGGCAATTTTGTTTCCGACGTGCGTTTGCCGGTTAGAGATGCGCCTCTTCTCCCTGCCATTTTCAGCACAAACCACCCCATTTCGCCGCTATTGTTACTCCCTTTAGGCGCAAAACACCCTTAGCCTCCCGTTCCCGGGCTGCCTCCCCCGGCCCGAAGCCCGACCCCCTCGCCACCTCTGCACTTCTCGGTGTCCCCCCCGCGCCTTCCTCCCCCCGTTCCTCCTCCTCCTCCTCCTCCTCGCGGCGCAGGCGGTGCCGCAGCCGCCCGGCGCAGCCCGCAGCTGTCGGGGCACGCAGAGATGCGGCTCGGAACAAACCGCAGCGAAATTGGCCTTTAGCGAACGGCCTCTCCGGGAAAGAAGAACATGATAAAGGCGAATCTGAGCCCTATGGGACACGTCCGAACCCGGTAGGTTAAAAGAGAAAACAGGCTGGAACTGGCGGAGAAGCACAGAGGGCACCGAGGCACAGAACGACGCAAGGAAACGAGTTCGGTGCCAGGGGCTGGCGGGACGGCCCGAGCGCCCGGCTCGGGAAACGCCGCACGGGGGGGAAGCCCACATCCGCCTCCAAGTCCTCCAATAAAACCAACATCTAAGAATTTTGTTTTGTCCAAGCATTTTTTTCCCGTTGCATGCAAGCAGCAGCGCAGGAAGCCCCCGGGATGGCAGCGGTTCTAGGGCAGCTACACGGAGAAGTGGAGGGAAGGGGAGAGGCGAGCGGGGATGGGGGAGGTGGGGTGGGGGGGCAGGAGATTGCTCGAATTCCTTTGCCTGTAAAATTACAGTGCTGTGGCGGTGGGGAGGTTAAACGAGGAAACACGTCGCAAAGTTTGCTGCTGGATGCAGCGAGCCCCGGCTGCTGCCAGGTTCCCGTTCCTCCTGCTGCTGGGCTCGGTTCGGGGGCAGGGGCTGTGCAGCCATGGGCTGCAGAGCGGATGCTGCGAGTTTCCCGACTCTTCTCCGAGTCACGGCTCATGAACAGAACTCCGGCGGGACTTGCCCCCGTGTGAGCAGGCTCTGTGCTGCCCGCAGACACCTGCTGCCCGCGGCCCCTGCCCGGGCACACCCAGCCCTGCACCCCCGTCCGCCTGCCAGTCCAGGCCCTTGGGAACGGCCACTTCCTCCCTCTCTTTCCTTCCAAAACTTTGAGGTGCAAGAGCTCAGGACAGGGCTGAAGAATTCACCCGTCAGCAGCTTTAGAGTGGAGCCACTAAAGAAAATTCACGGGTCTCTGAAGTGCTAACTTAAAATCTCTGGTTTCCAGATTTTATTTCAGGCTGCACTCCCCCTTCTTCCCCCCCTTAACCAGATGACCTTGCTTCAAAACATTTTATTTCCAGCTGAAGTGAAAAATGCTAACATATTAGCTTCTGTAATTGCAGTTTGACAGCCCTTGATCTCAATAATTATGCTGCAGCTAAACTATTATTAACAGTTTAAGCTAAAATAAACGGAAATCCCCCTTTGGAAGTGAACAGAAACAAACCATTTGAACCGTTCTGGGGGAAGTTGGGGGTCTCTTACCTGCATTGTAGGCTGCCAGATCTGCTCCAGGCCCCGGGCTTTTTCTTTTCCTGGGTCTCCCCTTCTGGACAGTCCCCACGCCATTGTAATAAGGCAGTCCCAAAGTGTTGGCAGAGCCCGCTCCCAAAGCCGGGCCCTTCCCAGCGGCTACATCCGAGTGATTGAAATGCACCTGGTACTCCCCCTGGATGAGAGTCTCGAAATGGAGGCGGCAGTACACCAGATTGTCCTTCATGCCAAAGTGATCGCCAGTGGTCAGCATCTTGTTGCAAGTGGTGCAAGTGAAGCAGTTTAAGTGATATACCAAATCCCTGGCCCTCATGACCATCTCAGAGGCAGAAATCCCCAGGTGACATCTCGCACATCTCTGGACCGAAAACCTCCTGCAAAACAGAAAGGCCAGAGGAGACGGTGAGAGGCGCATTCCCCCCCCACCCCGTCCTTCGTCGGTTCCGTCTGGAGGGCGGCAAAGGGCTGCGAGTCCCGGGGCGGCCACTTCGGCCGGGACAGCGGCACAAAGCCGGCACGTTTGCGGAGCGCAGCCGGGCGGGCATCCCGGGACGGGAGCGCGGAGAAACTCCGTCCCGTTTCCCAGCTCGCAGCGCAGCTCCCGCCCGGCCAGACATCACCAGAGAAAGGCACCGACCCCGGCCCTCGAACGTGCCCGCACCCCCGGGCCGCAGGAGGCACCGCCGGCGGGCGAGGAGCGGCGCCGCTGCCGGCCCCGGGCCCGCACCCAGCACAGGAGGCCGAGCAGGGCACGCCTGGTGAAGGCCTCAGTAGCCAAAGCAGGCTGGGGAGAAGCTGTGCCGGGGCCGTGCCCCCCTCCCTGCAACACGGGACTCATCCTCACCACGAGTCTCTCTCCCCATGGGGAGGTTTTAGGAGCTCACAGCCTGCCCCACGCGTGCCCACGGATCCCCTCCGCAGTCTCGTCAGGACGGGGTGTGCTCAGCGGGGGCAGCGGCAGGCGGTGTCCCCGTCCCCGGCTGGCGGCCGAGGGCAGGCTGTACCTGTAATAGTCCTCCTTGCAATAGATGCTGCCGTCCTTGCTGAAACAGGTGAGCTCGGACTCCAGGTTGAGTTTACATTCACAGCATTTCAGGCAGCGCATGTGCCACTGTTTGTCCACAGCCAGGAGGTAATAACGGTCGGAGATTTTACCCCCGCAGCCGGCGCACAGAGCAGCCCTGTCACTGCTGATGGAAGGCATGGTCTGCTGGGGGAAAACAATTACAGACCGTTAGCGAGAGGGAGAAACTCTTGAGCACGGCTGGGCTCCCCCCTCCCCCTGCCCGGCCGGGACCGGGCTGCCGCTCTCCTGGCAGAGGAGCGGGGGCTCCGAGGCGGCCACCCCGACCGGCCCCCGCGCCCGGTCCCCAGGGTCCCGCCGCATCCCACCTTCCCGCGAGGAGGCGGGGAAGCGGGCGAGACAAACAGAAAACCACCCTGGCTCTTAGGGGAGGCGTCCAGACCAGAACCAGAACTTTTTTCCTTTTTTTTTTCTGGTGGATTTTCCAGTCTCAAACCACGAAAAGATGCTGTTCAATAAACAGGCGCAATAATAACAGAGTAGGGCAAATCGCAGATAGTTAATTTTAAAATTTATTATTATGGATATACCGAGAGTGTCTGCATAGTTAATGCTCTGTGAGTGCGTGTATGTGGAGCGTGTCTGTGTGTGTATTTTCCTAGCTATAAAATTCCGAATGAATTACGATCAAACCCCCAGTAGTCACAGTGCTGCAGACACAGCTCTCTGCAAGCTGGTTCCAAACAACACGGATCGCGATCTGCTGTGACCCAAAGCGCTAAAGGGATCAGTAAATAAAGCTGCGGAGGAGATGAGCGTTACTAAATCCGAGGTGCAGAATGTTTTGTCGGGAAAACGAAAGAGTGGGAAACATGTAGAAATGAGAGTGGGTAAAAACAAACAGAGCACATTCGATTATGCTGGGATAAACTTGGAAGCAATAAAACTAAATATAAGCCCTATATAATTTAATAGTTTAGTGTCAAATCGCAATCCAATCGAAACCCTCAAAAACCCCCAAATTCTTACATATCCTGTCAACTTCTACCGAACAATAAAGAGGTAGAAATATCGGAACCGTTTAAGCATGCTTATTTATTTCAGCAGACACCTTAAAACAGCATTCGGGAGAAGAAGCTCGGTGGAGCAGCGTCTGGGGCAGACCTTGCAATATGCTGCTTTCCACTTCGGTCCCAACTTACTCTTACCCGCTTTGCACAAAAGCCCACGGCAGACCTGTTCTTGTGCACGAGAACCCGAAGCGTTTCCTTACGGCTGTGCCCAACACGCAGTTTGTTTTGGTTCGGGGCGGGGGAGAAGTTGTTTGTTTGCTTTTACCTCCTCTAGAGCCTTAAATCCTCGCGCAAAGCAAGAGCAAAGACAGCTAATCGGAGGAAATCGAAAGGAACCGAGGTTGATTTTCCAGCACATGCCAAACCCATTGCTTTTATCCTGTGCTTGCGGGGATCACAAAATCCCATCTCTGTGAGCACTCCCGTTTGCACCGCATCATTCCCACTAGGAGAACTCCACACAAATAAAACCCTGGCACTCCACTGGTGCTAGTCACAGGAACCCACCGGTAGCTTGTTTCTTTAAGGCATTAACGGAACTCCGAGTAGGGATCGTTTTATAACCAAAGTAGTTTCTTGTAAATCCACTTGAAATGAAATAATGTTTTTTTTCCCCCTACTTTGCTTTTCCAGTAAGAAAAATATTCTGAGATCTAGAAATGGCATTCAAGGATCCAGTATTCCAACCTACTATTTGTTATATACACACGTGTATGCATCTAGATTACGTATAGTTATATAAAACTATCACACCACAATATTTTTTCCAAAGATCATTGGATGTTGTTTAACTCCACGGAGAAATATTAACTTTCTAAAAGAAAACCAAAACCGTTTGGATTAGAAATCGCATCCCACCCTTATAGTACAAAGGCCGTTTTCCAGCCGGTGTTTCAAGACTAAATAGTCTCACTGTCACCTTTAAGCAAATTTCACATAACATTACAAGAAAGAACACATACTGATGAAGTTTGAAAACCTGAGAACGGATCTTCCTTGCATATGCCTGTATCAGTTTACAAGACAGCATTTAACCGATGTACAAGATAATTTCGCTTCAGAATTGTAATTTCTTAACAAAAAAAAAAAGTATACATAAATGGTTCAATCACTTAAGACACTTTGGATATTTCTTCCATTTTGCCAGCTTAACACTAGTTAGATGGATGCATCTTTTTATTATCTAAATGTATTAATATACAAGGACTACGCATCAGCAGACAAGATAAAATGTGCTAAAGTTATAAAAATTCGCATCCATCCGTCTCCCTGAGACATATCTTCTAGTTCTGCTTTGCCACAAACCCACATATTAAAATTATTTTTAAAACCCCATAACTTAAAGACACTCGTGTTTGGTTTTTTCCTTCTTAAATACATGCAATAAAGACTATCTCCACGAAGGCATCCTACCTGAAAAATAACACAGAATTGGATTCTTTCGTGTTTGTGTTTCCATTCTGCAGACAAAAAAATTCGCTGTGCCAAAATGTTATCGGTATAAAACCACACTTTGCCTCTTCCTAAAAACTTTGGAAGGCCGGACAGGCTGGGGGAAGGGAAGGAGTTCTTGGACGCTACCAAAAGGCTGGTCTATCTGTTTTCTCACAAGAGCAGTACCGTTCATTTCACCCAAGCGTTACTATTACTATGCATATTATTAATAATTAACAGTTTCATGCCTTTCCCCACGGTTTCATTTAATCTTTTGGGGTGCCTTTATGCTTAATTTTCTTCTGATTTAGTATACGTTTCCCCCCATCTGTTATTTTAGGGGAAAAGCTGTATCTGTGAGGGGTTTGGTATGTTTAGGAGGGGTGCATGACTCTCCCATTCCTTCGGCTCCTACCGTTTCCGTCTCTCCCCTGTCTATAGCCGAGCTGATGGCCGGTGCTTCGCTTTTGGTTCTCCGATCCATCTCGTCGATGACCCCGTGCATCTCCGAGCCGGAAAGACTGTGGAAAAGCATCGCTGAGGAAGCAGAGGAGGAGGGCCCGAGTTGCTGTTGCTGCTGACAGTTGTCGGGGTCCCTGCAGGAGCCCAGAACTTGCATTAACCGGAGCCCTCCCCCATGCATCTAGCACGGCCGCCCCGTCTCTCCTTGGGCACCGGGTTTTTCCCCCGGCAGAGCTCTCCGGAGCGCGGCGCAGGCACTGATCCGAGGTTTCAAGGGATGGGGTGCAGAAAAGGCGGGCGAAGGGGATGGGGGAGAGGGGATAACTGGTGGTGTAAGCTTCGGGGCTTGGATCTAGTCTGTTGCGCGGCCCCGGCACATCTCTTTAGAAGGCTTCTTCAGTGCAGGGCTCATTGCCCCAGGTGCAGTCCCAGGCTTTATGCTCTGGCCCAGCTGGCAAGAAGGCTGGGCACGCTTATGGTTGGGAGGGATTAATAAATAGTAGAAATATAAAAAAAAAAAAAAAATTAAACCATCTTCGGTGAGAAATAAATAAGAATTAGAAAAAAAAATTACGACAAGCCCCTTACATCGTACTGTGCGAAATTTAGAGGAGGAAAGCAAGGGAGAGGGAGGCTGCAGCAGGCGGAGAGCAGGCTGGTGCTGCAGGGAGGCTGGGGCGGATGCCCACCGTACGCACTCACAGTCCAGAGGGCTGGCAGCGGCGGCAGCTCAGGGGCAAAGTTTGCTCCTTCCCCCGCTCCTCCCCCAGCCCGCTGGAGCTCATTGGGAAAAGAAAAAGCCAAGGGGAAGGAGGAAGAGTTGGACGGGCACCAGATGGGACGGGCACTCGCGGCCCCCCTCTGTCCTTAAAGCGGCGCGGCCCGCGGGGCCCGGGGCGGGAGCGCAGCCGGAGCCGGAGCCGCGGCGGAGCTGCGAGCGGCGCGTCTGCAGCGCGGGGACCGCGCGGGGCTCCGCGCCTTTTCTACAGCCCCTCTGACATCATGTCCTGCCCCGCCGCCATTGGCTGCGCCGCGCCCGGGCCGCCGGCATGTGCTCGGGGCCGGGCGGTGTCCCCGCGCTGTCCCCGCGCTGGCCCCGCGTTGGCCCCGCCGCCCGGCACCGCCAGCGCTGCCGCGTCCCGTTCGCTCCGCGCTCTCGGCAGCGGCCCGGCCCCGAGCGGAGCTTGGCGATTGTCGCCCGGTGACCGTCGGCGACGTGTCGGGCCATGGCGCATGTGGGGCACTACTCCTCCAGCGCTCGAGAAGGAGGCGTTCAAGAGTTTGTTTCCACTCCGAGAGCACGGAAACCCCGAACAATTAGGACTAGTTGAATGCACCCAATAACCCTCGTCATGAAAAATATTCACTGTTAGAATATAATAACTTGAGTCACTCCAGTTTGTGGAGCCTTCCACAAACCAAGGCCTCTCGCATCTCTCGTTTCCAAGTAGGCTGTAAGGAAACCAGGCCAGGAAGGTCTCTGAATTTGAGGAAAAGCTTCAGAAAGTCTCCAGGAAAGACAAAGACTGCACAGAGAGACTGTTCATGATGTCTAAATATTTATCCAGGAGGTGGGTAGTAAGGAAGGACTAATTAGTATTATAGATGTCAAATATCGCACTTCTAATTATGTTAGCAAAGGTAGCACAACGGAAGGTAAATCTGAATGCACATCTGAGATCATGAGACTCGCTGCCTCATCCGTGACTATGAATTATTACATCACTCTGCTCATTCCCATCAGGTGTTGTTTTCTGACAGAGTGATTTGCCTCTTACAGGTGTAGTGCAGTTAAGATTATCCTTGCTAAAATTGGAATTCTTCTGTTTATAGCCAAACTTTGCTGGGTTTATGCATTCCATTCTTACAATAATTGAGGCTTTTTATCATCTTTCTGTTGGGATTGCTCTGAGTAGTTAAAGACATTTGCATGTCACAGAGGAGAACAAAGTGTCTCTTGTAGAAATGCATATGAAATAGCCACAAGACCCCTCAAGAAACCATACAGAATGCAAGCTAATTTGGCATCTGTGGGAACTATCCAAAGTCTGTCCTAAAATCAGACCTTGGAAACAATGGAAGTTGATGTTTGAATTCAGATTAGAATCCTGCAGCACCATTAGTGGCTCTGTATAGTATTTATGTGGATAAAATCATCCTTCCCTTCCTCCGTACAGTTGCAAGAGGTTTTCAAGCCCGTCTGTGCTGGGAGCTTTGCCTCCAGGAGCAGCTGTGGGTCACTGCTCACCGGACAGCACGGACCCGTGGTGGGACAGCCCTGGCTCACCTTAGCTCGAGCAAAGCTGCAGCTATCCTTACTCACAGCTGTGTACCCTACTATCCTCAGACGTTTTCAGACCAGATTAATTCCCTATCACTGAATTGATCGTGTACTTTTCGCAGTCAAGAAAGGTCATGGATTTGTACACTCTATCTGACATTGCTAATTATCAAAAAGATTTTAGGTATTTAACAGAATTAAAATACAGTATTTTATGTTACAGAATTGCCTCAGTGGATGGAACCAATAATACCAAGAGCACTCTGAAAAAGTATGGCACGGCCTCCAGTTCACAGGGTATCTCTGATTATCTTCTAATGGATATACAAACACAAGAAGACATCCAACCCTTGCTACCAAAACACAAGGAGAGTAACAGAATGTAAACATAAAGCTGCTAATGTACACACTGACACATGAATGACATTTACATTGTTCAGAATAAAATCAAGGATACTTTCAAATAATGAGCCACAGAAAAATTGCTGGAGCAAAATCGTCTTCAGAATGAAACGCAGGCTCATTTGAAATGGGAGCTTTTTCATTAAAAAAATGGTGCACCTAATAATAAAGTCTTTTAACCTGTATTTTGTTATAGGTGACAGGTGAACAAATCACAGGTCTTGAGTTTCTCTACCCTGCCTCTCTTGGTAACGTCATCTCCAGTACCATCTGCTACCTACCAGACAAACAGACCAACCACATAATGAGGTACCAGCTTCCACCCAGCTACCGTGACTAAATCAGAACAAAAGATTCAACGCCTCCTTCAACAAAGGAACACAAGTCTAAGCTGTCTTTGCTAATTGCTGGGTTTCAGGTTGTCTGTTACTGATTTTAAGTGAGCTACAAACTTCCATCAAATACTTATAGCTGTTGGATAAAGATACTAAGAATAAAAGATAAATGGAAGCGAAAGGTAAGAGAGAAGAGAAGAAAGCTTAGAAAATAAGTAACTACTTATGGTAATTTAAAGACTGTGGAATAATATAAACATGAAAGACCAGGGGGCAGAGTGATTGATATCTCATATGTTTTCGATGCCCCTACGGTTATTAGACTGCAATATATGGGAACATACAATAAACTATGAATTAAAATGTAATTGTAGCTTCAGGCATCCTCTTCATTGTCTGCTGTGGTGTTATGTCTTCATGCACCGTGATTGACAAGGTGTAATTAATCATCTTACTCAGTTGTAAATATGGGCACCCTTCACAGTAGGCATCAGGAAGTGTGTACCAGCAAAGGAAGCAATAGTTGACGCTGAGATACCATTAAATCAAAATCCGAATGCGTATATGTTCAGAAATGTGTGTTTGGTGTGATGCTGTTACCATTTATTTCTAAAATACTGTACCAACAGATTTACTTGATTTGCAAGTTAACTACAACATTAACCGGTTTTATATATTTTGTCTCTTCTTCATTTTTATAGGCAATGATGTTGTTCTCCTAAAATGTGAGCCAGTTTGCTTCCTGTCAGCAAGTGGAGCTCAGCTCAGCTCTTCCTCTCCCGAGTTGCTGCAGACAGACCAGCAGCTCCGTGGACTGACTTGAAATGGTTCGGGCAAATTATTACTCCATTCATGGATCACCTTCTGCACTTCTTATATACTGGGTTAAACACTTTGGGTCATTTTAAAGTGAAGGAGAATAATGAAATTATCTTAACAAGGAACACTGTTCCATTTAAAAATAGGACATTTCTTGCCACCAATGCTGGCCCCAAATTGTAAATGAACGTATTTTAAAAGTTTTTTTTCAGTATTCCAGGGTAGGAAACATGTTATATCTATTTCTTCTTGTAAATGATTTCTATCCTTATCTAGTTAGTACAGAAATGGTGTCTGAGTCATGGGAAATTTGAGTGGTTTGTCTCAGGAAAATTTGGTGGTATGCATGTTTTGGATGCACATAGAGCTGTGAATGAATAATTGGCCCCTATTTAATGTCCTCTGCTTTAAAGCTGTCTAGTACATTTGCTATTTAAAAAAATGTCTTTCAAAGCTGTTAAATATGTAACAAAAAGAGGTTGCTCTCCCCATTCTGACACGAACAAAGCCATACAGTGAGCTGCCTGAGGTACTTCCAGCATGGGATTAATTACAAACACAATCATAAATGGAAATTTTCAAAGTTTTCCAATTCTTTTTCTTTACAATACCAGCTGATGAGTGTTTGATAAAAGCACGCAGTAAAAATATCAGTCCAGGAATTAGCTATTAAATATTAAGCCAAGCATTTTTCAGGGAGTATGGGATCAGTTGGATCTATAATTCCACCATTTACCCCTGATGGAGTGAGATCTCTGGCTGTCTTCAGAAGCAAACCGAGCTTAAAACAGGAGCGCACTCCCAAGAAGATGATCGACTAAGAATGTGTTTTATTTTGATTTGAAAAACCGTCAATCATAGATAAAAAAGACCAAATACCATTATTATATGTACTAGCTAACTCTATTTGTCTGGTAAACCAGGCATATGCAGGAAAGAGAAATAATACTGTTTAAAAGGAAAATATTCTGAAGGTTTTGCCCAGATGTTGTGCTGAAATTGTTGTTCCCTGGTACAAGCAATTGATTTCAGAGGAAAATACAAGCACACATCTATAGATGTGAGAGAGAAATAAGATGTCCAATGTCTCACATATTTCAGTTTATATAGCCACAGCTATTTAAACAATTCCAAAACTGCCTCTACGGGTGTCAAAGAGGGAGGGAAATCTTCAACCACATGATCTTCTCTCCAGAGTCCTGTTAAATCCACTGAACTTAAAACAGAACAAGAAGT